ACTGCAGGCTTTTAGTCTCTGGCTAATGATGTCCACGAATTCGTACGTCTAACAACGGACGAGGTAACGAGCAAAAGCAAAACAACTGATATCACGAAACGTCAACGAAGGTTGCATTGTAATGAGCTGGCGAATAGAGAAAAGCGTAGAGGTAAGTAAGNAACAACAAGGTCCGAAAGATGGAAAAGGTACATGAGCAGAAAAGGTTGACACGGTCACTACAGAGGTCCCTCCCTAGAAGGCTAAGACTAAGGCTAAATGTGCGTGTGGGTGCAGCCTTATTGTCTTTTGAAAATCGAGTAGGTGAATAAAATGTCTAGTAGTCCAGTTGATGTGCAGATATTGGAACAAATAGATGTCTGTAGTCCGTCGAGGGTTCGCTACTTGCCCCGTTTTTTAAACGAAAACAGATGTGTTGAAAATGGGTCCGTCACAGCTGAGCAGAGCCAGTAAAAACTGACCTGGGCTGTCAGAAACAGGTCTTCGATACCCTCAAGATGCTGGATCGGTAGGTTAGTTGAGGGTGGTGGTGGTGTTTGGGCAATTAAAGTTCTCCTGTTGATTATGTTTTTCCATGTGGTCGGTTTGTGTTTTCTTCTCCCCGGGTTGTGTTTCTGGAACCGAAAAAAGGAACTTCAAAGCAGCCCTTGTTGGAGCTGATCGATAACAGCGAACACAAATACCAAGAATGAATGAGAAAAAAATGTTTTTTTTATGCAAAAAAGGGGTTATGAGATACAGGTCACAAGTTAGGCATGAGAGATCAATTGAGGTGGATAAAAACGACTTGGAAGAGTGGTATGTCAACACTGAAAACGAACTGGTTTACGGACTTCACGACCGCGGCGATCGTGCTTCACCAGTATCGATGGTGGTGTTGAGGGATGGTTCTCTGTAGGTTTGGTTAGCGTGGCGTCTACCGACGGAGGATCTGCAGCTTTCGTAGGTGAAATAGAAGTGGTGTCAGTTTCTAAAAACGCCGGTTTTAGTCGGCCTAAACTAGCGGACTTCTTTCTGCCGTTAACTTCTATTATGGCGTACTTGTCTTTACGCATGATTATCTTATGCGGACCGGTGTATAGTGCCTGTAGAGGTGTGTTGATGCTATCTACGCGAAGAAAAACGTGCGTGCAACGCGTAAGATCCTTCGGTACGTAAACGGGTACTGTTTGCTGCCGTGTGGTAGCAGCGTGTCCCTCACGCATGTGATGCGCGAGTCGTTGTGCAAAATCTGAGTAGTTAAAGCTACGTTGGGGCTTCGGTGAATCGAATGCACCCGTAAGACGTAACGTGCAGGCGAGGGCTAGTGCGGCCGGTGTAGTATGCAGGTCGGCTTTTGTCGCATTCCGAATGCCCAACAGGACAAGCGGAAGAGCCTCATGCCATTCTGAACCGGGATGACCCTTGAGGGCTGCTTTGAGTTGTTTATGAAAACGCTCAACCAGGCCGTTGGCCGCTGGATATGCGGTTGTGCGAGCGTGTTTGCACTTTAACATAGCGAGAAGCACTTCATATGAGCCTTCGAAATGCGAAACTTTTTCGATGGTGAGTTTCACCGACTAGCCGTACGTTGCTACCCAACGCTCCTTATTTAAACAAATTGAAAAAATCCCATTCCGAGTTTATATGTCGTAATAAAACCATCGAATTAATAAGGGGTAATTAAAATACAATAATCAGGCAAAAGGATTCTATTTGAGTGTAAGAAATGACGAAAATTAGGATATTTGAGAATAGTTATTTTTGGAACATATTCTTGGTTACCTTGCAACAAGGTTGACAAATATAAAGAAATTATCTTTCCAAAGTATTTCAACGCCTAGTAACCAATTTCGAAGGAGTTATTTTTCAAAAATCTGTATTTCGAGGACTTGCCCACTGGTGACGTCACCGTAGAGTACTCTACGGTAACTGTGGAGCGTACACCTGTGCTGCCTGGGATTAAATGAATTGCACAGTTGATAACTTTTGCATATACAGAGAATCACCTATACAAAAACACGATAATTCAAAGTCCCAGGCAGCATGAGCGTTACCTGGGCGTCCCTTGGCAGTCACCTGAGCATCCCTTGAGTGACCCCCTCCACCTTCACTTGAGCGTCCGGAGGCGATACATTTAGGGGATGCTCGGGTGACGGTCGTAAAAACATTTGGCAGCAACGGTGTCTAATCTTTCTATTTACCCAAAATTATATACCCCTTAATCTCGCAACGTATGCGACCCTTCACTACCATTTATGGGTATCAATGGCGATTAAAATATCCTATTATTCTCTTTCGTACCAATCGGGTCTATGATAATGTATGTATACATAACGCGCAACTCGGTATTTAGAAACTGCACATATTCGTCGACTAATTTTCAGAATTCATGGAACGCTCCCAACACAATATCCGAAATAGAATGTCAATTATTAGGAATAACATTTTATTGTAAAATGTACAATGTTAAATAATACAGATTTCAATTGTCCTTCGCATGTTCTTTGTTGTCAACGTTCTGAACATCATCTGAAATGGATGTTAAGAATTTAGAATAGTAAACTTGTTACAGAAAAAAAGTGATATGACCTAACAGTGAAAAGTCATAAAGGATAGGCTCACTCATTTCAGGTTGTTCCACTGTTGTTGACGAACGACCACATTGGATCCATCTCTGAATCCTCTCCGTGATGTACTTAATACTTTCATCGTGAAAATTATGTCGCATCACAGCATCTGTATGGATAAATTTCTAAATAAATTCTATTTACCAATAATGAGACTTGCAATCTTGCTGCCGATAAGGGCTTGTTTCCCGTTCACACCCCTCCAGTTGATACTGGGAAGAAGTTCCTCCGAAATCAACAGCCGTATGATGTCTCGGGTGCAATCACCGGCCCTAGTCGCCCCGGTATTGCACAACATTTTCATTTGAAACCATTTGGCCAATAAGATGATTTTAATTACCATTAACTCGTAGTATTTTTCGCAAGACAGTTTGCGTTCCAGTTCATGGAATTCCGCCAGTGTTCGAACTGGAATGCTACAAACCATTAACCCCCCTGGCTCATCGCTCTTCGTGCAAGAGACACGTTGTGCAACTCCATTTTAATCTCTGTGATATCGGAATGTAAGGCTGCAATCGCTTCTTGAAGATACTAGAACAATAGTGGTCAGAACTTACTTAAAAGCATATCTCCGTATTTGTAGGCATTAAGAGACGGCTGCACGTCACTGTTCTCCTTATTCCTGTAATGACAAAATGTAGAAGTGGATTCATCAAGTATGTTCAATTGACTGCAGCACGTTATCCGATGCACGTTTTTTGATGTTGATGACATTTTGGGAACAATTATAATAAATTGTGTATCTGCTGGTGGACGGCATCATAAAATGGTCCATTTCTCGAAGTGGTTTAGAAGGGACATGTCCTCCAGACAAGGAGGACCTCTTGACTTGTCTAGGTCTATTTGACATTGTGTCTTGTGATCAATTCACGTGAATCATTATTAGCTACCTTTTTTCTGAGGCTAAGTGCTTAAAGCGCTATACATTGATAAATTGAAAAGTGGCTACCAATTTTTTTATTTACCCCGACAGTCACCGAGCTTGTTCAAAAGGGTACACAACGGTGACTGTTGTGCTACTTGGGTCGGCTCGGGTTACTCGGCAGCCGCCAGACACCAATCGACTTATAAGTAAATCAATAGCTAAGGAGGTATAATATTAAGATGGATTATGAAGGGGGAACAAAACGGTTACAGTAGCAGAAAAGCAGATCGTACTTGTTCGTGCTTCTTAAAAGTTAGTTATAAGCGATAACCTATGGCATGTAAAATTTGGTGTAGCGCAATCAAGGTTACCAGAGACTACAAAAGGTCAAATTCAGTCAGTCAGTCAGTTTGCACAGGACAGGAGATGGCCACGGCCAATCGAGCGTCCAGATTTCCTCCGGTAGTAAGCCCCGTTCCGGTCCCTACCACTGCGAGTTTCCTATATTGCAGTTCTACACGTTTTCTTCACGTCACAGTTGTCTCCGTGTCTGCAAGGGAAGAGGGTAAAAAAAAGTATCTTCTACCCTTGTTTAGGCGAGAGACCTCGCGTTTGGAAGCGTTCCCTGGATGGGGGTGGTTAGTAAACAAAAAACCCAACCCTGTTTCCAGGTCTTAACCTATGCGTCTATTTCGGGAAATAAAGTCAGCCAGCGCTTATCGAGCTCCTTCTTGAAAGTATATACGCTCCCTAGCTCT